TGGGAAATCTACAAGAATTTGGTCATATTTTTTCCAGAGCTTTCTCTAAATTGAAGATTATGCTAGGTTTAGTGTACTAATAATGTTAATTTTAGCAATGACAGGAGGTGAGTATTTTGCATAATCTCTCTTTACTAGCTCCACACAGCAGCAAAAAAACACATAGAAAAAAGAACCAACCACAAGAGAGTAGGATGTACATAAGGTATAGTGACCTCATCACTTTCAGAAAGTGACATCATGCAGAAGTAAACCTATAACAAGCAATACCAAGAATTCTATAGTCCAACATTCGAAGGAGCAAACTTCCCCGTGAATTCTACACAAACAATGAAAACGAACAACCAAATGTCTTCAGAGACGAATCATACTGAAAAGAGAATGTGTGACAGGTTTAGACACATAGACATGAACATGTAAATCCAAGTAACGTACCGCATACATCATCCCATAGAAGAATATTGTAAATTACAATCTGATAACTGAATAACTTTTGTGTAAAGCTCCAATGTGAATTCCAAATTAATGGAAATACAATCATAAATTTAAGCACAAAACATTGAGAGCCAAACCTACCTTAGATCCGTGATACATACAAAGAAAATGAACAGAAAGTGTGGGTTAGCAAAGCAGGGAGGGAAAACACTCGTCATTACTAAAATTATGATTATTAGTAGACTAAAGCTAGCATAATTAATTTTACAACATGACAGGAGGCTTTGTATTTTGCGTTTTTTTTAACGCTGAGAAAGGAATAGAAAATGAATTAAGAATCCGAAAGTGCGACGGGATACCTAGCATGTTGGTCTACGGGAGAAAGTTCCCCATCGAACTCCGAACTTCTGGTATCCGACGGAAAGCCACCAGTCCAAGCATAAAAGTCCATCAGTAGATGCCCCAGTCCCAAGGAAAAAACTGAGAACGACCTCCACGTCCCATCAGGCAGATGTGGATGTCACTGGGAACTGGTACATAAGTTTTAGGATCCCTGTCCATCAGGAGTCCCCAGACCGGGACACGGACCATAGAGCCATAGAAACCACCACATAATGGATCAAGGTACAGTTCCAAACATCAGACTCCTAAGAGGTCCCTAGCAGCCTGCGATAGTCCGCCGATCTGCCAAGAACCCCATCAAGAGTCACGGCCACCAGGGTCAGCCAACCCTCCAGGAGTAGAAGATGTGTGTTTTCTTCGGATTCA